GCACAAAGCCAGCTGGGTGACCTTGGGCCAGTCACTCTCTCTTAGCCCTAGGAAGGAGGCAGTGGCCAACCACTTCTGAAAATCTTGCCAAAAAACCTGCAGGGATTTATCCAGACAGTCACCAGGAGTCAACACTAACCTGAAGGCACCAAAAACAACAAAAACAAAACCCTAACAAAGGCTTTTATTAGATTTTAATGGAGCTCCACACCATCCACCTGCTGATGGCAATGGTGCCATTTCCTTCAAAATGTGGCAATGCACCTCTACTGAGGATTTACTGGATCTGGGTTGTCAAAACTTAGATGACAGCATCTTAGATGATATCAGAGAGGCATACTGAAAAATCTTCAGCTTGTCAATGCAATCTTGCGGCCGTGAAGATTTTGGCAGCCCTGATCCGGCAGGCCCAGCATTGCTGTGTTTGGGGGCCTTTCTGCACACTGTTTTAAAGCACTGCTGGATTTCTGTCCTGATAGTACCACATCATTTGTGAGAGTCAGAAACTCTTCTATATCCCACTACTGCGATCCTTCCCTTTTAAAAATGAAACCGAACAGGGACTGCAGCGCAGACCTCTGCGTGCCAAGCACGGGCGGCGCGACGGATTTCAGCCTCCACCAAGTGCACAGCGGAGAGAAGCCGTGACAAAACCAGGTCGTTCGGGGACTCTTTCGAGGCTGGCAGCAACCCCGGAGCAACCTCCGACTCCGAGAACAGAGCGCGCAGTTCTGCCTGGAGCCTTGCGGGGGCAGCAGAGGGATGCCGGGCGGGAGAGGTTCTTTCTAGAGTTTCCGCCTCTCGTGTTCCCGCTGCTTCCGTTTCCTGGCCGGTTGCTCGTCCTGGGAGTTGTGACTGGGCGCTCGCGACCGTTGGGGGTTCGCCGAGTCTGCAGCAGCTGCTGGGAAGAAGCGCGCGGGCGATGGTGCTGCTGGAGAGCGAGCAGGTGCCGCGGCCTAACGCCCCGTCCCGGGAGTGCCTTTTGGGGAAGGGTCCGCTCTGACCTCGAAGCGTCGGTTCCTGTGAGCGGAAAGGAGCCTCCTCCGACCTGGCACCTTCGTAGGGGAAGGCTGTGCTGCCGCGGTTCCTTGCTATGCAGAGCAGATGAGGCGGTAGCGGGATGGGGGACGGTTTATAGAAAGAGTGGTGGCAGTCCCAGAGGCCTTACCTCTTTTCTGCATCGGGTCTTCTCAAAATCTGTATTCGGATCCCAGGAGCGGGACCATTGGCGCGTAATGTAGATGCTCCCCCACCTGCTCAGCAGCCGATTGGAGATCCAGGGAGGAGCTTCCATCACTTCCCTCTTACTGTGTCACTATGCAAGGTTGTTGAGCCCCCACGGCATTAGTTTGCATGTGGGCCGCTTTAGATTGCAGTTAATATCCAGTGAATGCCAGAAGTACCAACCCATGGCGTGAGTTCTGTGCTACGTATGAGTTCTCTTTCTGGCCCCACCTAATTTTGCAACTGTCACAGTATATACTGAATACTGCTTGTCATGGAAGATTAATGATCACCGCATGTAACTCATTTGAAGGAGAATATGCACTTCAAGAGTTTTGGCTCTGATGTAACAAGAGGTCTAGCTTAATGCAAGTCAGAATCACTTTGATAGGGAGGTGAGGAGGCAATGAAACGTGCAGATTTCAGTGCCTATCTGTAGCTCCATGAATAGAAGATTATAATGCTATGGCTTAACAGCCAAATGCAGCTCTTTAAATAGTTGGTGTAACTAAAAGCTTTGGAATGGGATTGTTCACTAGTTAGAAAAAGAAAATAATTCAGAATTGTTATCTTTGTAACAATTAGATGTTTTGTTCATTTGCAGTTCTTGACAGAGCTAACCAGGCTTTTTCAGAAATGCAGGACCACAGGCAGTGTCTATATAACATTAAAGAAATGTAAGTGTTACATTGCTGTTTGTCTCGCATTGACTCATCAGTATTTTCTCATAACAAAACAAATCAAGTGAAGATTTTCCAGTGCTAAGTGGTTGAACTACAATTCAGTTAGCAAACGGCTGAGCAACAACTTCTCAGTAATAAATAACATAGGAGTTATTAAAAATAGATACTTACTCCAAACTTAATCAGTGAGTAGAATGGATAATGTGTTTTTTTAAAAAACGGACGTAGATCTGTACTGGGCCAGTGGTGTTCATTGCTTCCTAACATATTGTCTCTTAATCTGAATGTTTTCTATATTTAGTGCTTTCTGCTTATGGGACAGAAACTTCCATTTTTTTCTTGACATAGTTTATCACAGGGATAGGGAATCTGTGGCCTGCTGCAGCCATTGGTGTGGACTTTAGCTGGGGAATCCTGGGATTTGAAATCCACACATCTTAAAGTTGCCAAGGTTGAGAAATGCTGGTGTAGTGGATTGGAGAAAGAGGAATGTGACAATAAAACAGCTTCACATGTACTTGATATTGTGAAACCTTATAATCGTGCCTGGCTTAATATAACCACCACCATTCTAACAAAATTCTTGCCTCCCAACCTGTAGTTTTAGAGTTCTAATCTGTGAAGCAGTATTCAAAACTGGAGAAAAGTAATATTTTATTTTAACATTCTCTTGCCATCTTTAGATCTTACATAATTTAACTTGCTAGTTTTATAAGTACTATATATAACTTTGACGCTTCTGTTTAATACAGATGATGGTCGGACAAGACCAATCCCACGGAAGGGCCATCTTGAGAGTTTTGAGCCTGTAGACAACAAATGTCTTCTTAGAGCCACAGATGGGAAGAAAAAAATAAGCACAGTGGTAGGTAGTATTCTTTGATGAAAAAGGATGTTTTCTCACCATTGCATTCTTATGTAAGTGGGGGGAAAGACCTTATATAAAATGGATAATGACTTTATTATTTATTGTATGTATTTGATGTTACAGCCTGACATGGGGCTCTCAAGGCAGCTAATGCTTTACAATGAAATATAGACAATGAAACAAAAACAGGAGTAATCAAGTTCAAAGGAATTAAAAAGTCTGGGAAGAGAAATGCTTCAATTCTTCCCGAAAGCCGTAAGAGTGGAGGATAAACACAGGTTTTGCAGCTGTGTATTCTATAGCTGAGACATGACCCAAGAGAATGCTCTCTCCTACAGTATGTGCCCAGCAGAGGAGGCTCTGAAAGCACAAGCATTTTTAAGACTCTAGTGATTAAGATCAGTGCAAAGACAGACGGGCCTTCAGATAATCAGATGCTCATAGCATGCAGTCTGCTGGTGTTTTTCAAAAACTCAATAAACCCACTGCCACCCTAAAAGACATGCTGCGGAGTGCCTCCATGCCTCACCAACACTGCCAGCTCCATCCCTGCAGTGTCACTAGCCACTGAATAGCCGATTGGCTCGTCAGCTATTCCCTTGTGACCTGCAATTATTTTTAATTTATCAGTGTGGCTCTTTCCTCTCCACAAGTTGCATGGGCCTGCCCTACACTATTTAGAACTTTAAATGTGCTCAAAAAACAACTGGCAAACAGCTGGATATTTCAACTCAGGCAAAATATGGGCCTGGCATTGTGTACCAGTCAGCAGCTTAACTGCTGGGTTTTGTACCAGTTGAGGCATCCAATCACTCTTCAAGGGTTTGTCCATAAAGAAGTAATATAATGTAACTAAAGCATGAAAAATTGTGCCAGATCTGGTGAGCTCAAGAATGGTCACAGCTGTGCAAATATATCATGCTGCAAATAATTCCTTGCCAACATTAGACATCTAAAAACATACTAATTATCATAAACACATTATGTCTGATTGATTCCCAGTATAGGCAGGTTTCAAAACTATAACTCTTCTACACATTTTGAAGAGTTTTCATTGTTCTCCTGAAAAACATTATGCACAGTGTACATGAATTACCTTATGATGTTGTAACTCTGACAGTAAATAATGATGATGATGATGATGATGATGTTACTTTGTACAACTCATGGTTATATACATAATGCTCCTGCTTCCTGTTTTCTCCACAACTGTGAGGTGGGTTGGACTGAGAAAATGTGACTGACTGAGTCACCCAGATGACTTTCATGCCTAAGAGAGACCTGGAATTCAGTCTCCGAGTTTTTAGTCCAGCACTTAACCAATACACCAAACTAGTATACAATATATTAATTCCAATTTATCTGAATTTAGTGATCAGAACCAGTTGCCCATGAATATATTGGTTCATCATACAATAATTGCTTTTATCATGTGATTGATTTCTTATAGGTGAGTTCAAGGGAAGTTAACAAATTCCAGATGGTAAGTTTGTATCTATTCACTTAGACTTCAGATTTTTTTTAATCAATTAATTTCCATTTTTTATAGTTAATGCATGATTGACTAACTGAAACCCATTATAGGAAAGTGTAGCTGCTTATCTCTGCAAATATTCTGAGGCAGAGATTAGCAGTTTCCTGAAAGTTGCTTGTTGTTGTTTTTTTAAAAAGTCTTGTTTTTTATTCCAGGCATATTCAAATTTGCTTAGAGCTAATATGGATGGTTTAAAGAAGAAAGATAAGAAAAGCAAAAACAAGAAAAGTAAAGCAACGCAATGATATAAAAGAACATTTCTCCAAAGAATGGACCCATTTTTTAGCCCACATTTTTTCTTTATGTAACCACTTATCTTTTGACTTCATTTCTGGCTAGTAACTGAACAATAAGCATCTTACGCAAACAGAGAGTGCTCAGGATTGTGATACGCAAAAATAAATATCCCTAATGCATATATTTGCAGCACCTGATTTATTTTGTATGTGCCTTTGTTTTATTTCAATAAGGAGATTACTGGAAAATGTTTAACTTGGGAAATAAAAAAATACTGTGGAGGTTACTCAGAAAAATAATTTTGATGTAACAGTTTATGTTTAGTGCATGCAAGAGTTTTATGAGTGGAATTAAGGTTGAGGTCAACCAAGAACTTGTGTTACAACTGGAAATAGATTTTCAGTGCTCTGTGAATCTTGGTTTCTAAGGAGCTTTTACTATCCTTTTGCTTAACACAGTTTTTCATATTCATATTGAACTGATAGGCACTTCTGTTGCTTTTGTTAAGCATGGCACAAAGTAAGTGTCCTATCATGTTAAAATAATATTACTTTATGGTGGCAGGACAACTAACCAAACTAATCTTAAGAAGCAAGTTTTATTTTCCTGAAACAATTCTGGAATCATCAGATTAAAATGGTTACATACAGGTTTCAATTGTTCCAACTGGTTTTGGAAGAGGAACAAAGAATCCCGCTACAACAAACCTCAGAACTAAAAATGATAACGTTTGCTTATCTATTTGGTAAAAATGACTGAAGTAACTTTGAACTACTAGTATCTTGATTCCTAAATATCTGTGCTGAATGTACCACCTGTCAAAACAGTTTGATTCTGTGGGATCTGTGTGCAAACAAGAAAGGACTATAATAGAAACATGCATCTTAAGTTATAAAACTGAATTTGGTCCACACCCATAGATGACATTTTTCTTTCATTAAACGATGTTACTGTTTAACTATATATTCTTGTACAGGTTGTTCCAGCTAAACAGAACTTGGCAACTGAAGTATTGGAAAATATTGGTATTCAGTGAACCCATTTGTGCAAAATAATACAGAAAAAAAAGGCTTGTTCAGCAGAAGAGCCATTTTAAAGATCCTGACTGGTTAAGAAAACATACTCACTTAAGGTTAGGTGCAGTTAGCTCCTATGATAAATAAGTATAAATGATTGATGCTCCTATAGAAGTACCTTTATACCCACTAAGTAATTCTGTAGTTCTGTGTTAAATGTTGTATGAATAATAAACTAGCCTACGTCCTCATAATGAAAGGGGAAAAATCTCATCCCAAAGGGTTCAGGCAGAAAAGAGTTAAAAGGAAAGCCTAAATCTGAGTTGTCAATCAAACCTACATGTGTCAGTCTAGGTAGTGAGCAAAGACAATCAAAATGCAAGAAAAAATAAATGTTAAATAGCCAATCAGGAAGAGTAAGATTTCCTTTCCAGGTGGCTTTTAAAAAGTGGGAGTTCCATTTTATCTTTGTCATTGGCAGAGGGAACAGAAACACCCCTGCCCAGTAGCAGGTTGGCGAGCCAGGAAAAATACAACAATTTTAGAACTACTGGAAGCTAGATGCAGATTGGAATTGCTGCTGTTTTATGAATAGCTTTTCCTATACTTTGGTCTACTTGTTCTGCCTCGGTTCTGTGTGTGTGTGCG